CAGAACAGGTGTTAAAAAGAGGTTTGGTGGAAATCCACAGACCACACCCAGTGAGCAACGCAATCTGTAACCAGGGAGCTACCAAGCGCCAGTGTAAACACAAGACAGGGCCACACCTTCCCTGGCATTTGAAAACCCACACTCTTTCCATATTACTGTTTGAGAAATGTTTTCTAGTTTAAAGCTAAGATAAAATACAGAATTTTGTTTTTAACTCACTGTGTAGACATAACATAAACAATGTGGTGTGTTAAGCACTCAGAGAAAGAGGACCCMTTAGAGATGCAGTGAAGACAAGGATTTCTGTTCAGTTACTGATCCATCACTGTGTAACAGCACATGGAAGCTTGCTGACTTCAAACTATGCTGTCCTTATCTCTCATAGCTCTATGGGCTCACTGGGCTCAGCCGGATGGCTTGCGTTGGGGTCTCATGTTTGAGGGTGGGCAGACGTTGACAGGGACTGTATCCACCAGAAGGTCAGGTCAGGTCGTTAGCCACTTACTTCATCCACACGGTGGGCTCCAGTGTGGGAGCTCCTCTTCAGCGGCTGGACCCTTGGGTGTGGCCCTCCCATGCTGCAGGGGCTCATAGCAGCACAGCAGCTGGGTTCAGAGGGAGTGCCCAAGAGGTGTTCCAAGAGCTCAGAGCCAGGAAGCCTCCCGTCAGTGAAGGAGGAGGTCATTATACAGAGTCGTTTTGACTGCAGTATTCAATTCCAGAGGGCCCACAGGGAACTAGACACTGGAGGAAGCTTGGGAGGTGTGGTTCCTGGAGGACTGTGTTTGGACACTTGCTGTTCCTGACACCAAATCATTTCACTAAAACATAATTTCCATTTCCTCTCCTCTGGGCTTATAGAAGATCAATGGGGAAGCTGACCTGGGACCACATGAAAAAGAAGGATTCAGTCAAGCAGCCAGAGCATAAGATGCCCCATGGAAAGGGAAGAGTGGGTCAGGGAGAATGTGTGCTGAACGTTTGAATTTTTAAAAGCTGGCAAAAACTAGAACTACCTTAGTGAACTTCCTGTTCCTGTTTCCTGATGGTCAATAACATCAGGAGAAACACATTTCACTAATCCTGAAATAGTCAATAACAGAAATTATAACATTCAGTATCCAAATCACCCCCGCCCTTTTTTTTTTTTTTTTTTTTTTTGGCCACAGGATTCTTGTCCTCAGTGAGCAATCACCAGTCCTGTGCTGATTCTGAAGTAAAAAATGATTGTGATTTTTTTCCCCTGACTCATGGCAATTAAAAAATAATTGTTTTTTATGATAGAACCTGTGGAAGTGTTCTAGTACTTTGTAAGTTGTTTGGTCTACTGCAAACCAATTGCTTTTGGGGTTATAATTAGACCTACTTATATGTTTATTTCATTATTAGATATGTTTGTATCTTACATTTACATGAAACAAGCCATTTCATCAGAATTAACTGGAAATATGCTAGCTACTGCTTATTTCAGAACAAGGGGTTACAATTCCTCCTTCTAAAATGTATGATACTGCACGAATTTTAAAAAGAATTTCTAAAACGATCCAATCTTTATCATTTTTACAGGTATTAGCCTTTAAGAAAATTTTTAAAAGCATTATTTGAAAAAAATAAACATCTTGCATTTTGTTTAAAATTTAGACTCTATTAGTATCCATTTTGACCACAAGGTGGGGCTATGATGTCACAATTTGGCAATATTTATAAAATACATTAATTATGCAAACAGACAAAAATTAATTAGTTTWAAARRWWAWTT